AAGTTTTAAAAAAAAAAAAAAAACAGAAAGGGGGCAAAAACCTTTTCACAGCGCTGTATTTCTATAGAAGCTTATTTCTGCCACGGAATAAAAAAAATATAAAAAAGGTAATTGCAACTTTTTATCTCACAATTCATGCTTTTTTTCTTGCAATTGGATGTTTACATCTCACAATAACTCACAATTCCAAGATATAAAGTCACAATTCTGAAAAAAATCTGAATTACAAGATATAAACGCATCATTCTTAGAAAAAAAGTCTGAATTGCAAGATATAAACACAAATATGATAAAGTCTGAACTGTGAGATAAAATTAAAATTCTGAGACAAATGTCAGATTTGTGAGATATAAACTCGCAATTCTCAGACAAAAGTCTAATTTGTGATATATAAACTTAATTCGGAGAAAAAAAGTTTGAATTATGAGATATAAAATCGCAAATTGTGAGACAAACGTCAGATTTGTGAGATATACACTCGAAATTGTGAGAAAGTTAAAATGAATTAACTTTTTAAATATTTTTATTCTGTGACGGAAAGAAGCTTCCACAACAAACTTCACATTTCTATTTTAAAAATGTTGTTGTTGAAACTAAGGGTCAATTCATAATTATTTTCTGATTTAGCTGAAGTTGTATGCATACTGATACTGATAATAAATATTACTTTATCTTATTCATGATTTTTCTTAATCCATTAGCGCTTTATTCATCATTGCTTTTTATTTGCCCAGACTGGTCGCAGCTTGTCAGTGCGCAACACGGTGAGAAGACAGACCCAGAACAGCCAGTGGGAGTCTCAGATGAACTGGAATGCACAGTCTCAGTCCAATGGAATGAGACGCGGTGGCAGCGACCCAGCCTTGAATAAGGCAGGCGGCACAATTACCCAGCAGTCCAAGACGAGGTCTTCTACTGTGCGATATAACCGAGCGACTGGACAATCCATGAGACTCCAGGAGAATAACCTGCCTGCCAGCACCAGCCAATCACAGATCGCAAGCATCAAACCTTCCCTCAGCCAATCACAGACAATTACGAAAGTCACCACTACCAAGAACAAATCAGAAGCGCTGCGGTGAGTGTGCTGCATCTTGGCTGCATCTTAATGTAGTTTGCATATGTTATGTGCTAATAGTAGTATGTAAAAGCGCATTATCTGTTATGCTTCACAGAAACATTGTTTTTTTGTTCTAAACATTCATTTTACAGATACCTTGCATCTTCTATATGCTAGTGCGCTTTTAAAAAATTTACTTTTAGCAAATACACATTTACATTTTACAGTCTTTTGTTCTTCTATGTTTTTGTCATACAGTAGTTTGTCAAAGCTATATTTGTGTGTCTGTTACTTGTTTCTTAAACATTGTTCAGTGCGAGTGGTGCCGAGGGATCTATTCCTAACATCACTCTGCAGGAGGCAGTGGAGTATCTGTCACACTCAGACATCAGCCATCAGCTGTGTGGAGCTTCATTCATACAGCACCAGACCTTCACTGAAGACAGAGCCAAGCAAGAGGTCAGCAAACTAAAGATTTCAGTCAGAGTTAAACCTGCCTTCTGCTGCATCATTGCACGTTGGGTGATTCTAGAAAGAGCCATATCATAAAAACCATCAATTATTTTGAAATTTGATTAAGCTCTCAAATCTATCTATCTATCTATCTATCTACAGTGGTGTGAATTTCCACATTCACTTTCTTGCATGGTGGCCTATTGTGCCGATATGGCTGTTTTTAGCTTCAGTGGGGTTTTTTTTTGGCAAGAACAAGTGAAATATAGTCACACTCTATTTATCAAATGATGGCATCTTTAACACCCAATAATCCCTCACACGGGCAATGACTTGAAACACTAAACCACCTGACCGATGCTTTATAATTCATCCGTGCTCATCATCAGCAGATTTCTCGGAGCTGTCATGTTGTTTCATGCAAGTTTTCATACCAGCGTTGCATAATTAATTGCCTAACTTGTTTGTTATCGGCGGCAGATCACAAGATGTTGACATACTTGGGTTGGACAGAAAAAGGACTGTTACACCACAGATTGGCATATATGTAATCATTGTGTGACTGTGCAAAATTAATGTCTGTTTTAATGTTAAGTTCTGGTTGTACTCTCGCAGAAACCTCAGCTGTGCTAGTGAGCAGGAGAGGAGATCGATGAGGAGCTGCCCAAGACTTATCGACTCTCTCATGTCCTACGTTCAGACTCAAATGCAAAGAGACGATCCAGATGACAAGGTTATCATGCTTTCATTTTTGCTGCATGATCTCCAAGCTCTTACACTACATTGAAAAATATGTGGACACTGAAGCAGATGCCCTAATGCTAGAATGCACAAGGTTCTCTAAAACTGATTTGCTCTGAAATTAATAAATGTGTAAAATGATATTGTAAGATGGAAATAAGGTGACTAACTAAACTTGTTTATTAAAAGAAGGGTGTAAAATTACACAAACTGTAATTATTACTTTATTTTTTATTATTTTAACCTATTATTAAATAATTTTTAATTCATAGAGCCAGATTTACTAACAGCTTGTGCCAGTGCAAACTGTCTTTTGGCGTTAAGATAGTACTGTCAGGATTTAATAAATTACTTTTATGGAATTGTGCTCTAACACTAATTTGCCCTATTTAGTAAATCTGGCCCATAGAGTTTTAATTTCTACCAGAATACTCAAATATAATGCCAAAAACTGTAGTTCAACAAGCTGAAAGTGACTTCTGTGTCCTGGTTCTGTTTATTTTGTTGATGTGGGAGCAGTCGGTGGAAAACTGTGTCTGCATACTTCATAACTTGAGTTACCAGCTAGAGAAAGAGGCTCCAGATCACTTCAAACAGTTCTCTGTTCTTGATGAGAAACCGAATGAGAACACTAACAAAAAGAGCCTCTTCAGCCCCAAGAGCACCAAGACCCAAAAGGTACGAGCTGTTGCTGATAAAACGACTAGCATGCAGGATGTTTTGGATGCTGGTCATGAGATGCTGACTTGACTTAAAAGATAAGTTAGCCTAAAAATAAAACTCTCATTATTATATTCCAAATGCATATGACTTTCTGTATTCTGTGGAACACATCATGAGAAATATTACGCTCCTGGAGCTTTGAAAAGTGTCTTTTGAAACGTTTTCAACCAAAAGATATATTTTAAATACATGCAGTTCCAGAAAAATATTAAGCATATATATATATATATATATTATGTGTACAACAAATATACAATTTATTTTCTTTTATTCATTCATTCATTCATTTTAATATTTATTAAATTATTACATATATTAAAAATGATCATATTATGTATGCAATAGTAATTATATATACAAGAAAAAGTAATGAATTTTGAGGCCAGTTGCTTATGTATTCCTCCTCCAGTGAAAAAAAATATTGCAGGTCAACAAGGATCATACAAAATGAAATATTGTCATACACAGTGTGCTGTACTTTGCTTGAACATTGCATCAGTTCATTGATCCCTGATGTCCATGATGTTTTTGTCAACGACAGCCAAGGAAATTCTTCCCAACGTCAGTGCTGTTCTGTCGGCTGTGACGCCGAACATGGTTAAGTCTGACAGCACCATCGCTACAGCGTGCCGTGTGATGAACACACTCATGCTGGCAGAGCCCGACACTGGCAAGAAGAGTATCAACACCAAACTCGTCGACTCTCTGAGCATGCTGAGCTCAAATGTGTAAGTATTTCCAAAGAAAAATGCGCGTATAAAAGTGAAACTATGGCATTAGCAAGCTCATGGTTGAAGTTTAGAGGGAAAGAAATCAACAAATGACAAGTTTTGTGATAGCCACCCATATATGACAGTTACTCTGTAGGAATTTGATATGTATTAGCAGATACCCTGCTGAGAATCTCTGTTTCGCAGATTATTTGACACAGCCAGAAAATCTGCTGGAGTTCTTCTCTGGAGTATGTGGGGACAAAAAGACATCCAGTATGTGCTGAAAAAGGTAAGACTGTCCTGCCTCAAACTACACACAGGCAGTAAAGCCTTTCCCGATCAGTGCAATAGAGGCACAGCTTTGAAAGTCTTTTAATGGTTCAAAAAAAAAAGATAAAAATATTAGTAAATTAAAGAAAATTTAGGGCACTTATAATTTTATATATAAATGCAGATTATATATTTGTATTTATTTATTTTTTACCTGTTAATCTGATCTAAGATTTTTGCATTGCATTGTAAAATTATTTTCATTTTACTTCCTCAACTGGCATCGTTGTCCAAAAAAAAAAAAAAAATTATATATACACGCATCCTATTGTGTTTGTAAAGTTATCATAAAGAGATATTTTTGAAAATGCTGAATTTTTACTGTGTAGGAAAAAACTTCGTAGTACTTTTGATTTTGGTACTCCAATGTTCTCGGCAGATTTGTAAGATTCGCCTTTTTAATTTGATCTAAGTTTTTTGCATTTCATTGTAAAATTTTTTTCATTTTCCTTCCTCAACGGGCATCGTTGTCCAAAAAAAAAAAAAAAAAATTATATATACACGCATCCTATTGTGTTTGTAAAGTTATCATAAAGAGATATTTTTGAAAATGCTGAATTTTTACTGTGTAGGAAAAAACTTCGTAGTACTTTTGATTTTGGTACTCCAATGTTCTCGGCAGATTTGTAAGATTCGCCTGTTCAATTGCATGACAGCATTTGAAAACTGACATTCATTACATAAAGCATCTCACAAATACAAGCACATTTTGTCATTGGAACTGCACTGTTAGGATGAAACAACATACCTAAGAAACGTTTGTTCAGAGTGGTTAATCACAAGATGCTGTTAATGATTTCAGAGGAAGAGCGAAGGTATATTTTCACAAATATTTCCTCATTCTGAAAGGATTTATGATGGGAGGGCAAAGAAAAAGGAAGCAACATCTGGTTGTAAGAAAGCAGAGAAAGCAGGGTGTGGTAGGGTGTGTTCACTTTTTCTTAGATTTTTTTCCTGCTTTGAGGTAAAAGGAAATCCCCAGGCTGTGATCAATCTTTCTGTCTGTAGTTTACACATCAAATAAGACTCTCACTCACTTGCATGAATAGTCTTCACACACACACACACTTCCAGGCCCTGACATGTACTCCACCCAACCCTGGAAGAGGTTCAAGATAAGACAGGAATCCAGGGAGACGAGTTCTTTCTCTCTGCTTGTTTAAAAGGGCATGTTGATCACATAAAGCTGATATAGATCTTTAGGCTTTAGGTCTGATCCATGTTAATCTGAGTTTTTTCTTTAGCAGCCTTGAGAAGCAGGTCATTTTATCATTTGTTTGTATTTCAGTAGCATGAGGTTGTATAGCTCCGCCCACACTGACATCCCATTGGTCCAAAACACACATACCAGTATATTACACATCAGACATATGTGCTGATTTACAGTGTGGACTCATGCACCATATGTGCTATCAGCTGATATTAGAGATTTTTAAATGTATCAATATATAACTATGAATTGATATTGGATTTGCTCATTTCCCTGATTTTTACTTTTAAATGACCTTTGTTGTCATCTAGTTCTTATTTAAATGTAATCTTTAAAAACCTTAATAATTTAATAACACTGTGAAATGTAATATTTAACAAATCTAAAAATGAATATCCATTTGTCATACTGTAAATTCTAATGTTGTGATGCAGAAATTTGCATTTATAGTTATTTGTAATAACAGGAGAATAATAATTTATAATAATATAATGTTAGTATATATTATTAGGTTTATATTAGAATTGTATTAAATTATATTAATGGAACACTCCACTATTTTTGAAAATAGGCTCATTTTCCAGCTCCCCTAGAGTTAAACAGTTGAGTTTTCGGATCCATTCGGCCGATCTTCAGGTCTGGCGGTAGCTTTATCAAATATAATTATAATAATATATTAGGTGTGGATTTTGTCTACCACAATAATGTCTTTTGAATGATTTTCATTGGAGTTATTTGTTTCAGCAAATATTGATATATGTGATTGATTGTGATTTAATGCGAATCACACATTTAAGCATTTCATGTCGTTGATGCCATTTTGAAATTTTTAACCTATTGACAGCAGGAATATTACAAACAGTTTATGTAGTTGTTGTTGTTGTTGTTTTTGATCGTTCGGTCGATGAGTAGTGAAGCGTTCAGCTCCGGCTGCTGAACCTCAGGAGCTCAGACAGGCATGTGTAAACACGTGATGAGCAGTGATTCAGTGCAAAACCACCACATGCATTTGGTTCTGAGAGCTTTCACACTGATAATTGTGATGGTGATGTGTGTCGTTTTGAAAGGACAACGATACTCCATTTATATTTTTATATTTATTCTTTTGTAGCAAGGGATGAACAAGGACACGTTTATAAATGCCATCACTGCTTCAGCGTACGAGGAAGCAACACGCATGAATGGACACTGAGAGATGTGCAAGTGAGTGGAAAGACACTTGCTTTTACTTCATTTTATTTATTTTTATTGCCTGGATTCTGATACTTTTCATGCTTTTACTTAATATATATATTTTTTTTATTTCAGTTTTGCAGTGCTGCAGGAAGCCACAGAGTTTCAGAGAACTGTCCTGCTTTCATATATTGCAGGACATTATGGGTATATGCGGTACATATTGTAGATTTAATGGGATTCCTGCAAATTTTTTGCGAAAAAAAAAACATTGTTTAAGGACACTCTCACTGTCATTCTAAACCCAAATGTTCTTCTTCTGAGGGCTAAAATGGCAAAAAAAAAGACCCTTAAAATATGATAAAGGGTTTGTGTGATGCTATATTCCAGATGCTTTATTTGAAGAACAGACCAAAAATGTACCAAAAGTAAATATCCTTTCATATCTCTTCAGTGGTTCACAAGACTGCGACTGATTCGTTCATGAATTGGACTGATCTGGAATTTAGCACACAAGTCATTTGGATGGTTTGTATGATATTTTAATGGCGCTTTTCTATCGTTTTTAAACTTGAAATCCACTGATGGAGGAATAATCAATCCTCCATCAGTTTTTCTGGTCAGATCCCGGGATTACCGGCTGATGCGGCTGCTGTACTGCTAGTACAGGCCTGTTTAGTGCCTAATACACAGATATGCATATATCTATCATGGGAATGAGTTTGTACACTTATGCTTGACAAACTTGCACTACTGGTCCTGCAGAGTAATAAATCCACTCTTCTTCTGCTGCTTTCCTTCCCCTGTCCTCCTGTGCTGTATATTTGGGATCATAATACATGTTGGATAAAGCTTTTGCATTTTGGTGCAATGAGGCCTGAATAGTTGTCGGTTTCTAAACATGCTCTTACGTCGCAGTTAGTAAAAACCTTCAGTATAAATGCACCACTTTATTTCTTCTCGATGTCCACTTAAGTTGTTCTGAGGTAGAGTTAGGAATGACAACCAACAAACACTTTTATAAACCGTCAGTGATGAAATGTGATTGAAATAATGTCAGTCGAAAGAAAAACATCGAAACAATGTTAATACTAATTAAAAGTAAGTTGGATGAAAAGTAAGATTTTGAAACGTCATTGTTGATTTGATTTGAAAAAATCTAGATGAAAACAAGAGTGATTCATCATTGGAATGCCTGTTGGATTAGAACTTAATGAACTTTCGGTTGCATTCGCAGCTCTTGATGTGTTGCCTTTAGGGATGGGCGTATCGATCCGAAGTATCGATATATCGATACTGACGCGAGTATCGAAAGTATCGATACTCAAACAAAAAATATCGTTTTCATTACCCATTTTACTCTTAGTAATTTAATAATTTAATAAATTTCATAATTTAAAAGTTTAGTGCAGAAGTATCGAATCGGTATCGATATCGACGATACTGCCTTGAAAAATATCAGTATCGTATCGAAAACAAAATAAGGGGTATCGCCCATCCCTAGTTGCCTTCAACTTAAAGCAGCACTATGTAACTTTTCTGTGTTCAAAAATTGCTAAATGTGTATAATGAACGAGTACATAATGAATTCATCTTCCAAACCGCCGTTTTGTCTTATCCCAAATCACTACGGTACACTTATAATAAGTACTTATATTTGGACTATTGTAGCCTGGTCGGGTCGTCACCGCTACGGAGTAACACATACCGTGAATCGCCATAGACATTTAGAGAAGTGTCGGGTCGTCACCGCTACGGAGTAACACATACCGTGAATCGCCATAGACATAAACTTAGAGAAGTAGCTCCGGTTAGAATGTTCTTCCGCGGGATGTGTGCAGTTCTGTTTATTAACCGCTACAGCGCCAAAAGTTACATAGAGTTGCTTTAGGTGGACTGAACGCTGTTAAATTCAGTTCTCACCTACTGTAGAATCAGAAGAACCATCTTAAACTTTAAAGTTCTAATGGCAATATCTGTTGTTTCTGTTTTACATTGTTAGCCACACATAATTCTACTGTAAACACATTATATGAAAAGGACTAAGCGCAGTTGAGTGGTATATATGCAGCTTTAGATGTGGCTTATGTTCCTTCTTGGCAGTGTAAAGATGTTTTTGGACTTTTGGGTATGGTTGCATTTTAAGAGATTTAATGCTAGATGCATTCACTTGAAATGGGGAATAATTTTTCGGAATTTAATGATGATATTTAATATAATGATGAAATATTGCTATATTTTGAAAAATGAAATGCTATTTTTGTTTTGTCAGTCGGCTGCTTAGAGCAGTAAATGCAAAATGAATTGTTTTCTAGATATACAGTAATATAATATGTTTGATTGACAAAAAACAAACTTGCCTTTTCTGTGTGCTGTTTGCTGTGATATTGTATTTTGTGAGGATTATTTTTATTTGATGTTTGTTTGGCTGGAATGTGTTTCAAATGTGTCTAAGCTTGTGGGAAAATGTATAGAATTTTCCCATTTTATTATGTTGTCAAAAAGCAAAATAGAAAAGACTAACAGAAAATTAACAAACAAAAAGAAAATAATAATAAATCATATTTTTGTACTAAAATATTAAATGTGGCTGTGTAAAATTGCATTTTGCATCTACATGACCAAAATGTGCATTTTAATCTTGCATAAAAATAACAACAAATAAAAGTGTGATTCAACAAGAAATGCGTTATGGTGTGTTGCTTTTACCGTGCATGTTAGATATAAATGTATTGCATTTGTGATATTTATAATAATTTGTCAGTTATTTACAGTATAAGCAATATATACATTTACAGTGTGCGTGAATATGAAAGAAGATTTATTGAGGAGGAAAAACCCTCTCATCCAGTGTTCACCGCAAATCAGTCATTATGAGAAATATGGCATGTTAGACTTTCCTTTTTGTGATTTATTTAGAGGCCAAAATATAGTTGGCATTAAACCTCAAACATATGTCTTCATTGAACAGACAGATTATGGAAAGTCTTTTCCCCATCAGAAAGCAGACATTTATCACTTCTCAAGAAAGCAGTTGTATTAATTGATCTGCTTGTTTTATGTTTACCCAAGATCTCCACCCTAGAGTAGAAACGGCGGGCGACGAGCCAGGAGACGCTTTTACGAGTCACACACATTCCACAGTGCAATTATCACAGTTCCCGTCACAATATTGGAGAGCTTAAAAACTGGACTGCAAATCCACCAAAAATGACATCTGTGCGTACTTAAGTATACTTACTAAAATAAACTTGAAGTATACTACTTTTTGGTAAGGGATATCAAAGGTCCTATTTGGTGCTGCGTTGAACATGTTCTACTCATGATTAGTGGAATCATTGTTTTGTGCAAATATTACTTTTATATTTGACGCTGACTTTTGTTTCAGACGGGCCCTTGCTCAAGCAAATAGTGAACGTGAATAGCAGAACAGTGAGAGTTGTATATGTTCCTGTGCCAGATGTTAATATGCAAATCATTTAAGATGAGAATCTCCTGACCTCTTTGACCCTGAAACTACAGAAAGGCCTGAGGGGACATTAACAGAGCAGCTGGGTGTGTGTTATTGTGCATCATATGAAGATGTGTATTACCTTTATACTGGGCACGAATACCTTTCTTTCTTAGGTGTAATTATAGTTAAGTATGTAGTGCGTTTACATGAAGATTTAAAATTCAAACACGTTTTTTCTGTTTAAGATAATTGGGCACCACTTACTGAATTGAACGTGCAGCATGAAGCTCATGTGATGGAGTGGTGAGTGGTTCTGAACATGGCCATTGTTTTAGCAGATTTGCATTCGTTCTGGCTCCATATGGAGATGTAACATCCCACTTTTTACCATCCAATCAACTGCTGATGGATAAAATCAAGTCCTGCCTACCTTATATCTCATTAAATATCTTATTTCACTCACACACATATTCAAGTCAGTACTTTGACTTGAGAATTACAGTTCTGAATCCAGAGCCTATAGCCGGATGGTGAAATCATGCTGTAGAGTTGGAGTGGCAGGGAAGACAAGAAGCTTAGTTTTCTATTTGAATATATTTTAAAATGTCATTTATTCCTTGATGCACAGCTGAATTTTCAGCATCATTACTCCAGTCTTCAGTGTCACACAATCGTTCAGAAATCATTGTAATATGCTGATTTCCTGCTCAATTTTTATTTTATTTTTTTTACATCAGTGTTGAAAACTGTTGTGCTGTTTTGTGGAAATCTCGATATACTGTATATTTTAAGATTATTTGATGAATAAAAAGTTCAAAAGAACACCATTTGCAATATAAATCTTTTGTAACATTATAAATGTCTTTACCGTCACTTTTGATCAATTTAGTGCATCCTTGCTGAATAAAAGCGTTAGTTTCTTTCTGACTTTAAACTTTTGAACGGTTCTGTACACAAGTTAATAAAATCACTTTTTCTGCTTCATTTTCTTTCTTTTTTTTATTCTTTTTGTTTAGTTGTTCAATCAAAATCTACAGTGTTTATTCAGTGAGGACTAACTAAAAGCATCAGAATACTATACACAGCTCTCCAGGACAGTCTCTTCATGATCTCTGTGGGTTTGTGAGGAGTCGAGTCTTCTTTCAGCACAGCATTCACTTCCTGAGGCCTCTCTTGGTCTTTGTCCTGTAGAAGAGAAAATAATAGCCAAGAGCTTTTAGTTTACCTTACAGCTCTAAACCATGATTTGTTTTTATGTCAAATTTAGGAGTGCACTAGCATGACATCAAAACCGACAAAACATGCAAGAGTTTATCATTACGTATTGCTAAGCTATATAGCCACAATAGTCATCTGATAAGCAATAAATAAAATAAAATAAATAAATACATAGCACACATATATCTTAGATTAAATAGTAATTTTTTCACTCAAAGGTGCATTCAGAAGTTTGGTGCTAATTTAGAAAGGTCGCACATTAAGAAATACACTATGTTTTTGTTAAGAGTCATCTGTATTGTGTAGAATGAGATGAAGACTGTACTCATAATATACTCTGTAAAAAGTGTTTTAATTAAATATGATGTGTGTCACCTCATCATCATGATGTCATCGTTGGTGTTTCACTGAACATTGAAGAAAATATACATATATCCCAACGTATCACCATGTCGCATATGCAAATGCAGTCTCAAATACAGCAATTTGATTGGCTGCTGTGCTTTTTGATGCACTGACACAGCCAAACTGAGTTGACACGGTTATATTTCACCATTTCTGTTTAAAGGGTTTTGTCCCCGTCCACCTTCCATACTCTGTACATATGCTAGTAGCATGTCGTAGCGCAAAAATTAGACCGTGAACGCTTATTATCGCAATTTACCAGCAGAGAAAAGCCAGAAAGACCGATAACGTAAAAAATTTTTAAAAAAAACGAGTGTAAACATTGGTAAGTCATACACAAGGAGGAAAGATTGAATGATGGAGAAAATCCTGAGTAGTAGCGCTCAAGTTGCTTGTTTGTGCATTTAGACAGGTAAGGGAATTAATTATTGTGTAAACCGCTCTCTAAAACTTACGTAACTGTAATTTACATAACTCAGGGCAGTCATGCTGATAGCATCTATAGCACCATTGTGGTAAAAGCTAACACTAGCTGAAAAAAAAACTCCTGAATGCACCTTTACATTTGGCCAGAGTGCTTTTTAAAATGTAAGTGGACAACAATGACTTAAAGGGGTCTGTGTGTTTTGTTGTGAAAGCGAAACTACTTTGTTTGGCCTTCCAAAAGAGGACGATTTTGCTTTGTCATGCCTAGAGCTGATTCGTGCTGGTCGCTTAGGAAATAAGGAGAAACAATAATGTACAGTATGTGGAAAATAATGTGTTTTTTGAACCTTAAACTGCATAAACACATTTCATTACACCAAATACACCAAATAATGTTCTTTTTAGCAACATCATATGACCCCTTTAAGTAAACTGGTCTTCTATCTGGAACTGATCTTCTATCTCTGCTAAGTAATCACGCTGATTCTGGATATGCACAGGTAAATGCTGACTTTGCAGCAGCAGATTGCAACCCAAAGCAAAGGTTGGCTCTCGCAAACGTTTTCTGCCACAGAAGCAGCGCTGCCAGCTGACAGGACTGTCACTCTGACATGCATTCACAAAGACTTGTGTGTCTATAAAATAGTATGGGGGGGGCATGGGGGCCCATCAGGACTGCCTATGCATAGGGCCCGGGATCTTGTGCAACGCCCCTGTGTCTATGTTCCACGCCTGAGGCAGGAGCGGATGAGTCAGAGTTTGTTTTGTTTGAATGAGAAAGCCCTCCGGGAAGTATCAGGTTAAAAAAAAGGC